TGATTTTAGACTCACAGGAAAGTTACAAAGATATTACAGAGTTCTCATGTAAGAACCATATATCTCTACCCCAATATTTTCCTGTCTTCACATTGGTATATAACCTTGGTACATTTGTTAAGAGTAAGAAACCAACGCTGGTACATCACTGCTAAGATATTGCCCAGTTTGCCACGAACATCTCTTCTCATCCCGGAATCCAATCCAAGGTACATTTAGTGTTATTTCTTTTTGCTTACAAGTGCCATTTTACATCATTCTGTAAAATGTCATTACTTTCTGTAATGACAAATTCTTTTTTTAATAACCATGTTATATTTCCTTTTAAACCATTAAGTAGAAGCATTAAAAACAACAACAAGAATGAAACTACTGTGCAGTTATGGTCCAAATTCTCAGTTTCCTCTGGGTTGACTTCACCTGTAGGGAGCTGGTAAAGTGGTCACCAGTCAGCCTGACCTGTGTCGCTGATCATTTGAATGTATGTTTCTGTGGGGATGGCTTGTGTTTGGGGATTGAGGTTCACAATCATTCAGGGACCATTTATGGAGCATACCCCCAGAGGCCCCAGGGTGGCCTCACGAGCTCAGCGATGTTGACTACTCTTCATTATCCTCAGCCTGTTGACCGTTTGAACTTCACTGTGTGATCCTGTGGTACTAAGATGGTTCCCTTCCTCAAGCATCCTTTAGCCCTTTCTTCCCATGGTCAAAGCAGGAATGATGTCCTGAAACCCTCTTGCTGGGCTTCATGACCCTAATCTGGATCACATGACCATCCCTGGCTGCAAGGGACTCTGGGAAGGCAAGGGTCTGGCAAAGGAGATTCGTCCCAAGGGCAGGGACAGCTAACATCTGCAGAGGCTGTTCCTTAGGACAAGTATGCAAAGGATGAATAAAACCTGTCCTAACCTTCAACTCTGCGATCTGCACCTGGATGAGGATGGCTCGAGGCTGGCCAGAGTGGGGACTTCTAAATCCACACCTGGAATATCAGGTGTGATCTTCCCTGCATTCCCTGACAAATCCCTGACTCAGGTCTGTACCCTGCTCAGCAGACCCCCAAGTTAGTTTGTTGACTCAATGCACGGGAATCCTAGATTCCTTCCTCCATGTTCTGAATTCAACCAGGAAATAGGTCCCCCTTTGTAAAAATGGAATTTCAAGATGCTCCGATTGGAATATAAAGTTTGTAAGAATTGCTCCCAGCAGGGTCAAGATTCCAGATCTGATTTCTCCTGAATGTGCTCTCTATTGTCCCCACAGCCTCAGGAATCACAAGCCCACCCTTCATTCCTTTGCCACAAAGTGCTAATTGTCTAGCAAAGACTGCAAAACTTCCTCCAGCTTTTGAAACAAGGTTCCAGCAATGAACAGGTGCTGTGAGGTGACATGAGGAAGTGGCTGTGTGTAATGGGGCGGTTGGACTTCCACAACTTTCCACTGCAGGTACCCACAAAATCAAGGAGCTGGAATAACCAAATGGGGGGATGCCATCTCTGCTCCATTCTCTGCCCGGTAACCCGGGGGCTCCCAGACCTTGAGCCAGGAATGCCCCATCTGATGCAGCAAAGTGGCTCAAAGTCCAAAATCTGGAATCTATTCCTGGCTCCACCACTGCCTTGCTGTGTGAGCTTGAACAAGTTACTTAACCTTTTGTGGCTGGGCATCCCTGGCCGTAATTTACAGCAGATGCGATAACATTGTCATCGACTTTGCATGGCACATTCGAATTACATTGACGATGATTGTTTTATTGTGTTGTTGAGGACACTGCTGATGCTGAGGCTGACAAGAAAGGGGGGCAAATTCTAATGCTCAGTTTTCATAAAATCCCAAGAAAACGTAATAGAGTAAGGTGAATCTGTTCTAATCAATCCTGTCAGTGCTTTCTAGAATTCAGCATCCCTCTCTTTTTCCTCCTCCCTCTTTTCTTGACCTTCTAATGCTCTGACAGTGCCCGACCACGGGTTATCTTATGAGCACCCCAGCAGCCCTGTGACATTTGCATTATAATCTTTGTTTCATGGCTGAGAAAGCTGCGGCTCAGAGAGACTAGATCACTTGTCGGTGGGGAAGCAGCTATTCCAGCCTGTTAAGCTTGACTCCAAGGGTGCAGTGAAGAGAGGAGGGTCTGATGGGCACAGATGAGGGAGAGGGTCTCAGTTCCTCTGAATCTTTAGTCCCCTTTGCCCCTCTGACCCCACCCCCCTTACTCCCCCCCGCCCCCCAGGACCTAAGTTCTCCACCATGACCTTCCCTGGTCAGTGCTGCGCTCTGAACTGGCTTTTTCGTCCATCATCGAAGCTGGTCTCTAACACTGAACAGGCCCAAGCAACCCATTCACCTACGGGGCTCCATGATGGGCCCTAAAGGGAGACCTCAGTACATGGGGCTCCCATCTAGCAGCACTTTGAATCTTCATGAAAACCCCCCGGAAGTGTGATTTCATCCCCCACTTTACAAATGAGCAAAGTGAGGCTCAGAGAAGTTCTGTAACTTCTGGTCACACCCGGGTCAGACTCAGTGTTGAGTCCAGGCTGCTTCTCTGGTTTCTTCCCCTCACATCTCTTTGTCGCAGTGCTGCAGCTTCTGCTTACCTCCTGGCAGTAGTAGCCTCCGGTGTGCTCTGTCCCCACCCTGCCAGGGGCCAGAAGGTGGTTGGTCAGCTGGGCTTCAAAGCAGGCGGTGACAGCAGTGTCAGGACACCTTTGCCCAGGGGGACAGAGGGCACACTAGTTGGGGGCCATGTGCCCACATAGCTCCTGCAGAGGAGGCTGGGACTGGCTGGTGAAGCCTGCAGGAAAGCCATCCCAGTTTTCCTGTTCTCTTTAGAGAGGCTCTGGTCTCTCTGAACAGCTGACCCCTGGAATTCACACTCCTGAGGGCTCCTGTGTGAGCCCTCAAGTAGACACCAATGTCACGACTGCTTCTGAAATGTACACAGAGATGGCAGCGTGATGGGGCAGAGGGGGCCTTGGATTCATTCCCCAGGAGCTCTGGCTATGACTGGCTGTGCAACCCAGGGCAGGTGAATTTGCCTCTCTGATCCTCAGTCTCCTCAACAGCATGATGGTTGAACTTCTACTTCATAAGGTTGTTATGGATTCAGCCAGATAATGCATGTGAAGCATTAACTGCAGTGCTTGGCATTTTAAGCGCTGGATGAACACCCACCCACTATTGTTTCGGTAAAAGTGGAGACCTGGTGGAGGGACTTTTTGGTGGAGGGTCCAGGAAGGAGGTGGAATGGAGTGGAGGTGAGTGGGGAGAGAATGTTCTTTCCCTCCTACTGGCAACCACCCCAAAGTCCACATGCCCGAGGCCAGCTCGGGAAATGCCAAACAATTCCTGTCGTTTATGCATCCTGGGGGACAGGGCGTTCTTCAGGCCACTTGACCTTGACTTAAGAGTGGGCACATGCATACCCACCCATCCACACTCACTCTCAGTGCCAGGAGTTAATAAGCTCAGTGGCCTGAGTGTCACAGAGTTGCCCTGGAAGAACCCTAAAAGAACAACAGCGACAGAAGGCACCAGAATTCCAGAACAGCTAATTGCAGATATGCTTATATTTTGACTTTGCTTTGAGTCCACAGGGCTTGTCAACATGTCTGTTGTCCTGGGCTCCAGGGGTCTTTAGAATAATCTGGTCCTACTAGCTCATGTTGGGGAACATGAAGCTCAGATTCAGGCAAAAGCCCTTGCCAACAACATGGAACCGCTGGGCCAGGGTTACCCTGTGTTCCAGAGAGTTTTCTCACCCCTCTCAGGCCCAGGCCAAGTCACCACACTGAGTGTCCCGTCTGCAACTGTCATCCTAGCAGGAGGAAAGTTAGGGTGGGAAAGAATAATGGATTGTGTTCAGTGAGTCCCTCTGGGGTCTCCAGGCTGCTCCCAATTGTGGGATCTACTGGGGATAATAGGGTGTCACCTGCCACCTCCACTCCCCTCATTTACACAGACCCCCCACTGGGTCCTGACAGCCCCCCAACAATCTTGGAAGGCCATCTCTGCCAGTCCTTGGAATCATCCTCTTTGAGCAGAAATGGTTGAGGGTAAACATTCGAAGTGACAGTGATCTCGGGGAACGGTGGAAATGCAGGTTTCTTGGAGAGATCGGTCGCACTTACGGGCCTCTAATCTTTATTACACACAACTAGGAATTGAGAGCAAGTAAAAAAAAAAAAGCAAAATCCAGAGAGATTTGGTTGGGTAGACAGCTGGGCCTCCGTTGGGGGGTGTCCTGCCAGCTGGGAGTCCGGTAAGTCAGGGCCGATGGCACGGAGCTGGGGAACGCTGATGGGAGCAACTCCCAGACTCACTTGCTTCCTCTCCACCTGCCCCACTCTGAGTACTGCTGGGCACCTGGCTGCGTCCGAAGTGCCTCTCCTCCACACAGGCTTTCTCCATCCCTGGGGCCATGTCACGGGAGACCCAAACCACCAGGACCTTTGGTGCAGTGCAGGGGAGGCCGGGACGGGGGAGGCCTGACCTGGGCAGCCCTGGGGTGCTATAGTCTCCGACTTCCCTGAAGGGAAGTTTGTCACAGCCAGAAGTATGTACAAACTTCTCTGAACACAGAAAACCAGACCAAAAACCGAGCAAGGAAATAAAATTAATGATATAAGTTACCAAAAAAAAAAAAAAAAAAAGACTCCTGCTTCTATTTGTTCTTCAATAAGGTCAATATTGCGACACTTTCACCAGGCCGTAGAAAGCAAAGCCAGGAACCCTGAAGGAAGAGGAGCCAGAGACCCCTTGTAGCATTCGAATAATTGGGGCCTCCTTTGCCCCCTCGTCCCCACCCACCACCAAGCAGGCTGGCCTGGGCTGGGCAGGTCTGCCGCCCAGCACAGCTCTCCGCGTGGGCTGTCTTCATCCGGGACAGTCACTCTGGCTTTGGCTGGCAGGTCCGCTGGCATTTATCTCCCAGGGGGGCCGGTCACCCCATGCGAGGTGCGGTACACGGTGTGGCGGGCTCTGTCTGGTCGGAGGGTCTCAGGCAATGGACGACACCTCGCTGTGCTTCTGCTCCCTGCAGAGGACAGTCCTGGGGGCAGGCCAGCAGCTGCCCTGGCAGCTGGAGTGGTAGCAGAAGAGGCTGGACATCAGCAAGGCCAGGGCGATGATGAGGGTGAGCACCCACCGCACGGCACCCGGGTAGATGAAGGGCAGGATGAGCATGATGAGCAAGACCAGGAGGAGCAGGTGGGCTGCCAGGCCCCGTGCCGCCATGCGGTTGGCGCTCGCTGGGTCCTGCCCATCCTCTCCCGCCACGCCGGGGTGCCCTGCTGCCTGGGTGGCGGGGTCCCCCAGCCCCTGGGGACAGAGTCGCACCTCTGGGTGTGACCAGGTCAGCCACCCCACCACAGCCTCCTGGTCACGCAGGCTGCAGATGAGACCCCCGGGGACAGCGGTGGCCTTGCGGCACAGCGGGCAGCTGATGGACCAGGTGTCGCTCTGCACGCACAGCAGGAGCTTCAGGCAGACGGCACAGAAGGCGTGCTGGCAGCTCAGCAGCTTGGGCGGCCGGGCACTGCCGTAGGGCTCCCGGCACACCAGGCATTCCAGGTCTCCCTCGGAGAGGCCACGCAGGCCTGTGGTGGCGGCCACGGGGCTGGGCTGGGGCCAGGGTGGAGCTGGCTGCCGTGGGACCCCAGCACTGGCCATGGTGGGCACAGAACCAGTGGGACGCTGCAGCTCTCGGGGTGTCAGCTGGGACCCCGGGGCCTGGATGCGGTCTGACCTTAGGGCTGGGAGTCTCGAGCGTGGCTTTCCTCCTGGCCTGTTGTCTGGTCCCCCTCTCCTGCGCTGCTCCACTTGTTTCTGGGCTTGCATCGCCCTTTCAGTTATTATTATTTCTTGCCTTGAAGTTAATCAGTAACTTGTGGGCTGGGAGACTTTGAATTGCCTGATAGAAGGGCCCAAGGGGGCAGGGCCTCGGCGGAGTCAGGACTTTCCTGTTGGGGCTACGTGCCTCATGGGTGCCCACAGGACCTGAGCTTTGGGATGTGTTATAGGGCCCAACCACACCCCCAGCCCGGCTAGGAAGCTTTCACAGTGCAGATTGCTAGATCCCAAAGTCAGACATGGAGTTTGCAGGTCTGGGTGGGAGCTGAGAATCTACCTGCATCGTTAAGAAACATCTTCACAATCTGAGCACAGGCAAACTGGCCACCCCTCTGAGAAACACTGCCATCGGGGGGGTCTCGGACAAAGCTGGCTGGATGCCAGAGGCCATGGGGAATGGTTTGTGTTTTGAGTGCATTTGCAGGCAGGAGGCCTTGTGAAGTGGACAAGTGCTGGGGAAGTATTTGGAATCCACAGAACACCACATACGGGGCCCTGTGCCTGGGTCACTTCATTTATTGTCCCAGAGTTGTGCTAGCAGGTACTGACACTCAGTGTCATCGGCGCCTTGGTGCATTTCACGTGCTCACAGGTGGCTCCCTGAGCAAGTCCTCTCAGACATCCCCGGGACCCTGGCTTGTGGGGCTGGAAGGCAAAGGTAGGTGGGGCAGGCCCGCTGGCTGCTGGCCGATGGCCTCGGGGCTTCCCGTGGGAACTGATGGAATTTACCGGCATCCTAGGCCAGCTTCCCGGCCTGGTGGGGTCAGCCTTCTATGATCCCATGGAGGTGAGGGTCCTCCCTGGCTGGGAGGGCTTATGTGGGGCTCAGATACAGCAGCATCGACCCCCTGGGCCTCGGCCCAAGTTAAGAGGGGAGGTGGCATGGCCCAGCTTCCCAAAGAAAACCTCACACAGGCCATCTCGAATCCAGAAAGACGTGCTGAACGAGCCTCCTCTCACGTCACCTGCTGTGGTCCAAGCACAGTGCAGGCACTGACTCAGCTGCGCCCAGGGGCAGGCTACACACTCTTCCCCTCCCCTGCTCTCCCCTGGCCTCCCCAGGCTGCTGTCTCTGAAACCCAGCGCCCCCTGCCTGCTGGCAACACCTTTCAGGTTTGTCTTTCCTCAGATGGAGCAGGGGGAGCCTCAGTTCTGGTGCTGTCCTCTCCCTCCTCCCCAATTCCCCTTCGACAGTGATTTGCTTTCCTTTCCAGTCACTCATTCTCTGTGGTTCCCAGCTCTGTAGAAGTCTGTGGGAGGAGGAGGGGACGTGACTCAGGGCAGGTCAATCAGCGTGTTCCACCCCACTGGCTGCAATGGCTGGTTGGGACACAGCCCTGCGATCTAAGCCAAGCTAGGGAGATTCCATTTTGAGACTACTGGGAAGTTTTTCTTACTGCTGGATTTCAGAACTAAAGGCTAGAACTCTGGAGCCTCCAAGACCAGAGTGTGCTGAGGCTCTGAGGTCAGCACAAAAGAAAGTGGCGAGTCAGAAAAGGGCCTGATGACACAGTTTAGACGCCTGGATCCAGCCATGCCTGAAGCTGGAGATCTATCGTTCAGTGTTTTAGTTATGATAACCTATAGAAACCACCCGGTTTTTAGTCTTAAGCCAACTTGGATTTCTGTCCCTTGCAAAGGAAAGGGTAAAAACAATAGACTAAGAGAAGCTCTAAGCTGCTGTGACACAGCATCACATTATACACAAATTACCCGGTACGTGGACCAGAGTGACTTCATGCCTGTGTGTTACTATGTTCAGGAGATGTTGCCTTTTTTTCTGCTTTGACTTGTGTCATAGACTTTGCTAGACCCTAGGCAGGGTCTTTTCTGTTTGCTAGACTCTAGGAAGGGCTGGGGTTAGGAGGAAAAAAAAAAATTGCAATGCGCTTATTTATAATAGAGATAGAAAATCAGTCGGAAAACTCAGTGATGGCAGCTTGGCCAATGCTTGGCCCTCTCTCTTCTAGCTGACTCCTCTGGAAGCCAAATAACCAGGAAGGCAGCCAGGTGAGGTTGAAATCAGATCAAGGGAAGTTATTATTTTTTTTTTTATCAAAAACATAACCTTTTGATGTTGCCCTGTCACCATTAAGAAAGCATGTCGCCTATAACCACCCGAATGTTACAGAAATATATAAAGTGGGTTGTGAGATTCCTCTGACTGCCGCCCTGACAGGTGAGGACTTTCAGCATTCCTCCAGGATGTCCTAGCTATCTCCTCGGCTGGGGAGCCCCTTTGGAAACTGCCTCGTCTTAACTATCACCTATATGCACCTTATAGTTGGGGAGCTGGTGCCTGGTATTTTACTGACTTTGGCACGCCATTTCAATTTCATTGAGGCTCAATTTGTTTGCATGGTACGATGGAGAAAATAACACTATAGGAAATTATGGGGGATGATTGAAGATCCCACTTCCACCCAAACCAATTCGGGGGGGTGGGAGGGGGGGGAGTCTGTCGTTGACGTGCCTTGCTTAATAACCGACCTTGATGTCACTGATCTCACCCCGGGGCAGGGAGATAAGACATTGTGGTGCTGTGCGCTGTGACTTCCTACAGAGGTGTGGCTGCGAGCTGGACAGGGCATAGCCTGCCCAGGGAAGCTCATCATGTCTCCGGAGCCTTCAAATGTTAATTTATGTGACTTTCTCCACCTCCTCCTTGTTTGATTTGTACTTTCTTTTTCTTTTTTTTAATAATATAATAGATATAATAGTTTGATTTGTACTTTTTTTTCATATTAGAACTTGCAAACCTAGTCCTTTGAAATCCTCAAAGAAATAGATGTCTTTAAAACTACTGTACAGCTATGAACTCATTTCTCAGTAAAAAAAATTTTTTTCCTTTGAAATAAATTTTTTCATTCCATGACTTCACTCAGTTCTGGGGTGACAGGAGTGGGGAGACCATAGCCTCAAGTGAGGTTAGAATTTTAGGGCCAGCCACGAGTCGGGAAAGCAGAGTTAGTTCTCCTAATGGATGGCCAGGTAATCACATCGCCACACCCTGCAAAGACCTTTCTGAACTGAGCTCTAGGCCAGGTGTCAAGTTCACTGGCAAAGGAGTGAGAGAGCACTGACATGACAAGGTGGGACTGTCTGACCCACCCCTGGCCTCTGCCTTGGCCAGCCCCCCACCCCCACCCTAAACTCCAGCGGCTGACTCCCCCTTCCTCCTGGGCTGGCTGGTGGCTCAGCTCCCACTCTTCTTTCCAAATTCCTTCGAAATATCTGTGTCTGGGGGCAGATTGGTGGGACACAGAGAGAGGAACAGGATTTGGAACCAAACTGACAACAGTATAGTGAAAATCAAGTTAGGAGAGGGAGAAATGATACGAGAGAAAGTGAGCCCAGACATCAGCTGCACTCACAAAAAAATGTAACCTCCCCATGTTCATTGTTTATTTACTTTAAGATTTATTTATTTATGCATACAGAACTGGGCTACAGGCCAGAGGTGCAGGGGCAGTGAGAGGCTTCAGAGCGGGGAGCAGAACAGGCAGATCGATGAGTACACTGCTGAGGGGAGCAGCGGGCGGGTCAGGAGAGGTCTGCCGCGCCCTGTGGGTCACCTCCCTGGCTGGGGATCAAACTCATGCTGAAGCAGCTGCGGCCAGCTTCATAGTGCTGCGCTTCAACCTGTTGCACCACCAGAGAGGGCCCCCAGGTTTGTTATTTAAAAAAATATACTGATGAGCAAAATGAAAAAGTGTTCTTAGCTACTTTTCCTATCTGGCTCTTTCAGTTGCAATATGCATGCTCTGTCCTCATCAGCCTTTTGGGTGGTGTGGTTTGGGTCCCACAATTAGATCTATGTGGCGATTTAATGAACCCGACTTATGCCACAAGGTTGGAACTATCCGTTGATGAGCAGTAGATAAAACCACTCTTGTCATCGAAGTGCTTCTCACCCTGAGGCTATAGAAATCAGACAAGGAACTGGGACACCATACTTGGAATTCACTGATGATAGGATGTAGAGGCACTTCCTGTGGTTGCTTGGAAACTTACTCCCTTTCACGCCCACCCACTATCTCCTAGGCTAAGCTCTAGTTCAGAGTGCAGCTTGGAATTCTTCCTGGACCCCCTTTGCTCTGTGGATTCATGATCTTCTGGGACACAGCTTGCTTGTCTCTGAGGCTCCAGCCTCTCAGCTCCTCCTCTGCTCCAGACAGCTGAACAAACACCTGACTCACCCCAGCAGAGCACACCTGGCCCCCGCTGGAGAGACAGCATCTCCAGGTATGAGCTGCTCCCTTCAGCTCTGCAAACTCCTGCCCTCATCGACTTGTTTGGACTGAGCATGTGAAAAAGTTTTAGCAGAGAGTCATTTTATTTCACCCTAAGTCTTACTTCATCAGGAAACGTCAGGTAGCATCACCTTGAACCATCCTATTGGCCAATTCTAACAAATACCTGCCTGGGGGAATTTTACTTGGAGGACTTTAGTCATCTATTCCTCCAGGCTAGCTTTTCTCAAACCCTGGCTGTGCTGTCTCTAGCTTTCTGGGAGCTTCTGAAAGTTACTCGTTAAAGAAATTAGCGGTGGGGGGTGGGGGGAAGGCTTCTATAGATGAGTATGGGAAACAATTCACCTTCACTCCAACCTGGGGCCTCCTGTGAATGTTTTCATGTTAAAAAGCTTGGAAATCCTGCAGTTAAAAAAATCAGGGGGCCCGCCCTGGTGGCACAGCGGGTTGGAGCGCTGCACCGCAAAGCTAAACCAAGCTGTGGCTGCTTCAGTGTGAGTTCAATCCCCACCCCGGAGGTGACCACATGGCGCGGCAGACCTCTCCTGACCCGCCCGCTGTTCCCCTCAGCAGTGTACTTGGCGATCTGCCCGTTCTGCTCCCCACTGTGTTTCTGGTGAATCTTCTTGCCACCCCAGCATCTCTGCTGTACCCCACCTCTATATGTATAATAAATAAAATGTTCAAAAAATCAGCTTCATTTTGTTTAATCCTGATTTAAGCTCAAATTATCTG